CAAATGTGCTTTGCTTTGCATACTACATGCGATTTTAAAAGTGCCTCATATTATACTGGGTGAAACAGTTTTCTATTGAATTACAAATCATTGACTAGATTCTTAATTTTAACTATTGATTGATTGTATCTATTTGGATAAAATGCTGGACCTTTAGTGTATGTATAAACCCTGTGTGATCTGAACTCTGGGTGCCTTTGAAGGAAATCTCACCAATTCTTTACTATAGACTTTTTTCAAACTCTAATACTATGGACTGGAAATATTTACACATATTGTGTGTAATGTATATTCTATTATAATTTTGCTGACATTCTTCCCTATTTTAATACAATATACTACTTTATTAATTGTCTGTCTTACCTTAACAAGACTGTAAGCTCCAAAGACACACTCAAGGGCTTGTTTAATGGTTAAAAATATTTAGTGCTTGCCTAAGTTAGGGTTCATGATGTGTGATGAAAGAACATGGTTATCTTGTCAGGTTTACTATCACTGTGGAAACACCATGACCACTGTAATTCTTATAAAGAAAGCATCTAGTTGGGGCTGTCTTACCGTTCAGAGGTTTACTTCACTATTAAGATGGCAGGAAGCATGGGAAACACAGGCAGACATGGTAATGGAGAGGTAATCTATATCAGGATCTGCAGGCAGCAGGAAGAGAGAGGGAGACACTGGGCCTGGCTGAACATTAAAATATCCAATCCATTCTCCAGCAAGGGCACACCTACTCCAAGGCCACACCTTCTACGCCCTGTCAAATAGCACCACACCCTAATGAGCAAGCATCCACATCTATGAGCCTATGAGAGTCATTCTTATTCAAACCACCACATGACCAAACACAACTTGGGAAGGAAAAGATTTGGTTTATATACCTTGAGTCACAACTAATTGAGGGAAGTCAGGGCAGGAACTCAAATAAGGTAGTGCAGCTTACTGACTTGTTTATCATGGCTTGCTCAGCCTACTTTCTTACTGAACCCAGGACCACAGCCCAGGACGGCACCATCCACAATAGGCTGAGCTGTCCTCCATTAATCATATAATAAGAAAAATGCCCTACAGGCCCACCTCCAGCCCAGTCTTATGGAGGCCATTTCCTCAACTGAGGTTTCTTTCTCTCAGATGACCCTAGCTTGTGTCAGGTTAACATGGAACTAGGCAGCATACAGTTCCATCATGAAGATCAGAGTTAGGATCCCAGCACCCATATTGGGTGGTTTCAAACAACTGTAACTCCAGCTCCAAAGGCTCTGACTGTCTTCTGGCCCCTGAGGATACTCTCAACATGCATACCTGCATATACACTCAGAGATAATAACAATACAGATAAATTTTTTAAAAATTCACTCAAGAAAATGATAGCTAAATGATAAAGGAATTTTTTTTATTGGGGCAATAATTTCCTTGTGCAAGTTTTGGGGACTTCTATTCATTTTTCTTTTTTAAGATTTATTTATTTATTTATTTATCTATCTATCTATTTATTTATTTATTTTTTGTTTTTTTTCGAGACAGTGTTTCTCTGTGGCTTTGGAGCCTGTCCTGGAACTAGCTCTGTAGACCAGGCTGGTCTCAAACTCACAGAGATCCGCCTGCCTGCCTCCCGAGTGCTGGGATTAAAGGCGTGCGCCACCATCGCCCGGCGATTTATTTATTTATTGTATATGCAGCATTCTGCCTGCATGCATTCCTGCACTGAAAGAAAGGGGCACTGGAACACATTACAGATGGTTGTGAGCAAACACGCAGGTGCTGGGAACCGAACTCAGGACTCTGGAAGAGCAGCCAGTGCTCTTAACCTCTGAGCCATCTCTCCAGTTCCTATTCATTTTTCAAATTACAGCTTAATTTTCACTTTTTCTCCCAACCTCTTCTTCTTTGATTTCATGACAAGATCTGTTTTCTTTATTATTTGTTATTATAAGCCCCAGTTTTCTCCTCAGAAATTCTTAGAACTTTCCTTCACCAAGTCTATCATTTGTGAGACAATTTGTTTAGCTTCTGGGTTCTCCCTTAAGCTGTATGTTCTGTGACAGAAGAAAACATTTCTATTTGTTCTTAACTATATCTCCTAATATCTCTCCCACAGTAGAGGATGTAGAGATGGTCCGTGTGCATCTGATAGATGAAGTGTGGATGGATGGGAGCTGGCTACATCACCCTTTGGTTCCCATGTTCTGACCGTTCATTGTTCTCTGTTGATTGCCTTGGCGGGTCAGTTAGTCTAGTTGTAACCCGCCTGGCAGTTCAGTTATTCCAGGGTCCCGGAGAGGCACTATCTGTAAGATATGTGCTGAGAGAGAGGAAGAAGGCCATGCTAGGTTTGTCAGAGCCTCCGTTTATTAGAGATGGGGTACAGCTTATATAGGGTAAGGAGTTGGGGGGTGGGCACAGGGGCCTGGGCTCTTGCCGCATGGTTTACGTTGGTCACGTGGTCCAGGAGGTTACCTTTGGTCAGGTTGACACACCTAGTTCTCTAGATAGTTTGGAATGTGGGGCGGGTTCCGCTAACAGATAGCTCTCCATTAACAGCCAATTTGGGTGTGGGGTCGGCTCTGTCAATAGAACGATTCCTTACACAATTGGGGGTGTGGGGTTCTCTCCAGACTCCCCAGGGTGATGGTTCCTGTAATGATTTTAGGAGGAACCGGCTCCTGACAGTTCTCGCAGCACCACTACCAACAACAACAACAAAAATGTGTAATTGGTAACCACCAGACAATGTTTTAATACACTGGATACATTTCTATTTAAGCATACATGAATGCAATAATGTTTATGGTATCCATTACTTTTTTAATTACAAAATTTTGAGATTTTCATATATGAGCACTGTATTTTCATCATTTGTAGCCCTAACTTCTCCCTTATCCCAACTCCCTCTCAAGTTCATGATTATATATATATATATATATATATGTATATATATATATGTATATATGCATATATGTGTGTATGTATGTATACATATGCATGGCCTTTAGTGTTGTTTGTATGCATATGTTTTTAGAGATGGCTGATTAGGACTGGATAATCCTTACCCCCAGATGAAGTGCTACAGGCTAACAATAGCTGCTAAGAGAAGGATCAACCTTTCCCTTGGTGAACTTCCAAGGGAAGTTCATAGTCATAGGATCTATGACTTTCAAAGCCTCCTAACAACCTGTCCCTTCATTTCACATCATAATTAAACAAACATTTAGTGAATTTCTCTTCTGAACCAACTGGGGGGCTATATAATCAATAAAAAGAATATACTCTTACTGTGTAGCCTAGGCTGGCTTACTTGGAATACAGGAGCACACCGCTGGACTTCACCGGGAAGAGCAAAGAGTGAAGATTTAAGCCTGAACCATCTCTTCCATTTTGATTGCCTGTGTGAATCTGGTCTAGTTACGAATTGAATCTAAGGCACTTCATCTGCTGGAGAAAAATCAACTATTTTCATCCTCAAGTGTGTGGTCTTGAGGCAGCTTCACAAAAGAACTTCTGTGTAATTACAAATGAGTTAGCAGTTTTTTTAAGTTGTTTACAATAAATGTGTGGAAATAACTATTTTGTCAAGTTGTCTGCAGAGGACTGATATGTGTATGGTGTGTGTAAACACATGGTGGTGCTTGAGAGATTTGCCTTGGTTACTACTAACCTTAGAAGGGAGTTTCCTAACCAGCTTGACTTCCCAGCAGTTTAGCCATAGAAGACACCCAAGAAGTATGCAAACATGTTCTAGGGGCTTTTAGATAATTATCAAAGAAACTGCTTACATTTGGATACATACCAAATTAGAGCAGACCATAATGCTTTAGATGGACAGTAGGAAATGATAGGAACTTGTGGCTGTTACAGTGAGTTCCTGTGTGTGTGTGTGTGTGTGTGTGTGTGTGTGTGATACTAGTACATCTCAATGTTCAATTTTTCACAAAATTTCTGCTACATACACCACTGTTGGATAAAAATGGATTAATTTGCCAAAATAGCGTGCAGCATCAGCTACTGTTCTCGGGTACCAAGGTGAATTCGTCACCCACGGATGCCGTCTTTCGAGTAGTCTGTTTATGATCACTTACAGATTCTGATGAAGCTGCTCAAATACAGGACCCAGAACTTAGTCTAAATGCAGCGGACCTTTTTTTGGCGGCGTACTTCAAACAGGTTTTCAGCTGTATCCTAGCAGCTGACCCTTGCCCCTCCAAGAGATGGGGCTGACCACACAACCGTGGAGTTAAGATGATTTATTTTTTTCAGGGTATCTTCTACCTCCTGTTACTAGGATATTTATGGAAAGGTGGTAGACAAAGATCCAAACACAAGAGAAGTCCCATTTAAGGTTCAGATACACAACAATCACACTGCAAGCTTGGTATTCCTAATTACAGAAGTGATGTGACCACCAAGCACATACAAAAGTCTTGCAGTTAAGAAAAGTGGTGACTGCCATCTTCGGCTCTCTTGAAGACTTATGGAGATCATCTAATCCCAAAGGGTAGTCAAGTGCACATCAGCCTGCAGGATCACAGAAATGCAGAGGCCATTTAAGCAAGCCCAGCCTCTTCTGTGCCCACACCTTCACGATGGGACAAGTCAGTGTCCTGGACATGACACACGCTTAAGAAGACAGAATGTTCTTCTTAAGACAGAGAGTGGAGTCGGAAATACTGTGAGCTCTCTCATACTCTGAAAAAAGCAGTTTGCATATCTAGGTGGGCCACCTGCACTCACGCCCACAGTCTTTCAGAGCCAGTCAGAGGCCCTTGCAACGTGGGTTTGCTTTTCTCAGGTTATTTTTCTCAGAAGTCGCTCCGGGATGTGTCCCTACTGTGAATAAAACAGTCCCTCACTTCTGGCCAACTTTTCTCGGCTCCCTGATTCCCAGAGGGCTGTGGCGCCGGCGCCCAGCCTCCTCCGGGGTGGCCATCCGAGGGCGGGGCCGAGCCTGGCCAGGAAATGCCCGAGAGTGGGTGTCACCTGCCTAAACAACTTGTTGACTCCCGGGAGCGCGGCCGGCTGGGTGTGTGGCTCACCTGTCTCCAGCGCACAGGGCCGCTCGCCCCCCACTGCCCAGCCATGAGCAAGTTGGGCAAGTTATTTCGAGGGACCCGCTCCTCTCGGGCTCGCGCGGCTCCCAGCCCCCAGGAGGCTCTGGCCCGCCTCAGGGAGACCGAGGAGATGCTGGCCAAGAAGCAGGAGTACCTGGAGAGCCGAATCCAGAGGGAGCTCGCCCTAGCCAAGAAGCACGGCTCCCAGAACAAACGAGGTAGGCTGCGCCCGCCCCAGGCCAGGCCTCGCTCACCCACTCCCAGCCCTTCCCCAGGGACAATCTGAAGCTAGATGTGCGAGTCCCCCCAGGCCATCTAGTTTGCCTTTCTAGGAACTGACCTGACCCCCAGGGCCTGGTGATTGAGAGGAGCTGAGCCAGGCACCCGCCAGGCAAGCAATAGGTTCAGCGCCAAAAATTCCAGTAATCGCCCTGAGCACCATTTGTATGTAATACTTAAATGACTCAAATCGATTAAAACTTTAAAGTTAGGATGAATATCACTGATCATTTTCTCTTGTCTTGGGTTTTAGTGGTACTTCCTTATTAAACTTATTTTCATGTGATATTTTGCTCATTGTCATTTTGTATATTATTTTTGAGTTTTAAGAATATTGCATTCAAAGGACATTTAGCTTGTGACTGCATTTTCTGGATCCCCCTTGGGTTTTATCCCTTGCTCACCACTTTCTAGCCCAGGTCTGTTGACTCTACTGCTGAACATACCAGTTTTCTCCTGTATGTTTGTATTCTAGCCGCACATGGTGAAGTGTGTTCTAATATGCTCTGGTTTATTTTGTTCCTCTGCTATTGAAAACTTCAGTTGCCTGTTGTACAGTTGCAGTCTTAAAGAAGAATCAAAGCACTAAATATTAAGTTTCCTTAACTGGCTTTTAGTACACACAAAGGACTTTGAGTCAATAATGGCCCTTGAGAGCCTGTCACACCTTGAACCTTTTGCTCCATGTCAGAGTCCATTGGTTTGTTCGGCATTGTCCTCTCTGTGTAGGAGTCGGCCTCAAGAGCACGTGAGGTGTGCAGTGGAGGATCCTGCACTAGAAACGGCAATGAATGGTGCTCATGGATAAACTGAACACTTGTGACCCTGTGTCTGGCTTCTCTACTGTTAGGAGTTTTTCCTAACGCGAGCTCTCTGCCAACTCAAAAATCCCAATCAAGCCAAATCACAACAAGACAAATTAAAAAATATCCAGGTTTAATGGGATTCCTGCACTCTTGGGTGGCCCCGAGGGGGAAGCATAGGGCACTAATGCAACCACCAGGGGGAAGGAAAAGAAACCAGGAGAAAACGGTTCAGGGAAGCAGTTTAAATAGACTGGGGGAGTGGTCAAGATTTTGGAGGGCACAGGGACGGGGGCCTCCAAAGATGGAGGCCAGAGACTGGGGGCTTACATTTACCGTGTCAATGATTTGGGGGAGGAAAGAAGCTTCCTCCTGCTCCTCCTCCTCTTGCCCATCCTCTTCTCTCCATCTTTGGTTTTCATCTTCTATGGTCTTGAGGATACTGAGGACAGAACCCAGAACCTCATGCATACCAGGCAAGTGCTCTACTCTTGGGCCACACCCTCAGTCCAGGTTGGTTACATGGAAGCCTTGGGAAGAATTAGCTCATCCTTGTGAAGCTTCTTTTGTTCAGTGCAGGGGGAGCAGGACGTCTCCTGGAGCTGATCTTGAGAGCTCCACCTCTGAAGTCGGCCTGACACAGGCTCTTGTTATTCACTACAGAGAGACCAAGTTTCATTCTTCTCTGTAATTGTCTCTAACTTTTGCCACAATACAGTGCTGCTTAGAGCTAAGGGCTGGTTTCTATTTTATTCCATGTTGAAAAGTATTTTGGGAACTTATTCGGCAGCATTTTCTAAACAGAGACCATGCCATTATGGTTGGCTAGAGTCAGTATTCACGATGACAACACCCTTCCTCTTCAGTTGGTTGTGCCCTCTTAAGACTTGCTTAATGTCCCCCAAAGTGCAGACACCTTGTCGTTTCTTTGGAACTGTGTTTACCTTTGTTTCCAGTGGCAACTCAATGAATATTTGTTTAATAATATGAGAAATTGGACATCTACTTCTAGGAATTTATAAAATTGTGAATTTGCTTTCAGAGAATGAAGTGTAACATAATATGGATTATATTGGCTTCCACAGTGTTTTCTAGGTGACAGTGCACTAAAGTGTATCACAAGCTTATAAACAAGGACAGGACATCTGAAGGGAATGCCAAGTACCAATCCAGCTTCCTTAAATCGAGGAAGTTACAGATGCACTTGTGAGCAAGTAATTAATTGGAGTAAATATTGATTCATCATCATTTAGATTTCTGAGTTCACTGATGTTAGCCCAGGCTTGGGCTCCAGTGGCCCTGGGAATAAGTAGGGACTGGCTTCTATGAGACCATCTTTTATCTAAGCTATGGAATGAATTCAGTCATAGCCTATGCATTAGGAGCACCATCCAAAGTATTGTGTCTCCCAAATAAACCAGATAACTCCTTAGATACATGGTCATTCCCATCCTTTAGCCACTAAGAATACTTTCAGAAAGATTGGAAAATAAGACCCTATAATACCGAGCACTAAAGTTCCCTGGGCTACACAGTAGCTGTCATTTACACTGTAATCAGAGAGATGCAGTGTATTTTCAGTGGAAGCTTTACCTCTTTAGCTAGCCACCGAATGTGTCAGCATCCCAGCTGAATGGCCAGGTAGCATACATCAGAAACTACAAGTTCTTCAGTGAGGAATGTCTCTACAACATCAGAAGCTTGGGCAGCATTTTGAATACCCAAAGACAGCTTGGTGTTACTGGTAAAATGAGTAGCTTTTATTTTTTTAAATTTTTTTTTGAGACTTGGAATTCTCTGCATAACAGTGAAGACAATAAGTCAAAAAGGGTGGACTTCTCTGAAGCCCAAGCTCGGAACTACATGCCAAATAATCTGTATAATAATAACCGTATGAACTTCCTTAAGAAACTAGCTCAGGGTACTTATGAGGTCCCATGAGAAGCTCCTCAAATGTTTCTTCTGGAGTAAAATAGAGGACGTGGGAAGTAGAGATTTCTCATTCAAGTTTATGGATAACAACAGAAGGAAAAAAAGGAAGAAAACAGTCCCTCCAATTTACCAGCTCTTTAAATATCAAATCATTAACTTCTCAAGTTTAGTGGGCATCAGTGTGGTTCTAGGCTGGTCTCGAACTCACGGAGATCCACCTGCCTCTGCCTCACGAGTGCTGGGATTAAAACATCATTTAATTCTTTCCTTACTTCTTTGCCACATCCCCCAGATCAGTGTTTTGCCTGCCTATTGGAGCCACACGAGCCCTAGAGTCCTGCTCCCAGGGATTCAGAGCTAACTGCTTGGAATGGGAGTCAGGTATCAAGTTTTCAACAAAGGTTTCCAGATGATTCCTCCCTGTTGCCCAGTTCTGGGTGGAATTTTCTAAAGTTAATGAGATGGAAGAACCAGCTCTCCTCCTCTCCCCAGGTTTCTGACTTTCTTGTCACAGGCCTTGAGTATTTGTTTACTTCCTTTAGATAAGGAAGTATTTAACTCTTGGTGTCCCAGGCTGGTGGTATCTTAGCATACTTCAAACTAGCTGGCACGTTGACTTGGCAAGACCCTTTGGAGGTGTCTGTTCTTATTTCTTCTTAAGGTCTCTTTTATAACATCCCAGACAGATGGCTGGGGATTGTGCTTAACTATAACATTCTAATGTAACTCTTATAATTTGACACAGAGTGTTTGTTGTTGGAGCTCAAAGCTTGGGCTTTAGAGCTGTCAGCCCTGCTTTGTTAAAGTCCTTGTAATGGGTTGTCCTGTCCCTTTAAGAGTCAAGCCCTACCTACTCCCCCCACCACTCCTCCCACCCCTCACCCCAGGCTAGGAGATTTTCAATTCAGCTCCCAGCCCTGCTCCCTGCCCTGTCTCTCTGGGAGAGGTGGCTGCTGCCATGGTCCCTCCCCTTCCCTTCCCTCCCCTTTCTGCCTCTTCCCTCCCCTCCCCTCCCTGTCCCTTCCCTCCTTTCCTCTCCCTTTATTCTCTGTTTCTTTCTCCCTCTCTGCCCCTCCCTTTTACTGAATAAACTATCCAAACCCACTCTGCATGGCATGCCTGTCTGTCTCTGTCTCTCACCCGCCTGGGAGCCACAGAGGCCTCGGGTGCTGGGACCCAGCTGCCCCTCGGGTCCCGTTTTATCTAAACCACCACAGTCCTCACACCAGCCAGCTGGCCTGTCTAGTTACTTCTCGTGTGGCAGTGACAACACAGACACCCAGAGCTGTGTGGATGAGCGACATCACTCTATGAAGCATTCGGTGCTTAGTAAATATCAGCCCCAATCTGAAACAATATTAGTTGAAATTGGCCTAAATTTTGTCACAGCGCTGAGTAAATCTCCATTTCATTTCATATATTTGAGTACAGTGGTCACGTCTCCCTTTCCTCAAATGCCCCGTTCTCTTCCCTTGAAGACCTTTCTTGTGCTAAGACTGGCTTGCTATGCTGGGCTTAGAAAGAGGCTGTTGCAATGCCTGGGACAGGATACGGTGACCCTTGGAGTGAGTGTTGTCCTGGCTTACAGACCTGTGGCTCCTTATCCTGTCTGGTCCTGGCCCTGCTGCTTATCTGGCCCGGGCCCCAAATCACACACATGGAGCAGGAGCTCCAAGTATGTAATTATGTGAGAAGGTGTGATCCAGTTGAGGGTCATCTGGAGGTCGTAGGCATTGAGCGTGTTGATAGAAATGGGCAAGATAGGGAGAGCAGATTTGGGCAAAAAAAAACCCTCGGTGGCATTTTACAGGTGTCCAGTGAAACACGCTGCTGGGGCCATTGACCATCCTTCTCAAGGGTCTGTTTGAGGATGTGAACCTGCAAGCAGAATCCTCTATGGAAACGAGCTAGTTTACTTCGGGGCTTGGGCTGTGAATGGGCAAGGCTGAATTTCCTTTTGGAGTCTGGATGCAGACTAGTTCACTGGGCTGGTGTCCTTTTGGAGTGGGGCTGTGGACACAGGCCGCTCTAATCTCAGTGTGAGGAGCCCTTTGTACTGTTGATTTAACTTTTTAGGTAGTTGTCTTTACTAAATTCTCCCGTCAAAGACCTGGGGACTTTGGTGTGAAGAGAGCTACTGCGGAGTCCGCTGGCTGAGGGACGGTGAGGGCAAATGCACTCAGGCTCGGGTAAGGCTAGACAGC